GTGACTTTGAAACAGGACACTGAATAAAACTTCCAGGCTTAAAATATTTTCCACATACAATGCACAGTTGGTTAGAGTGGAACAGAAATTCTTATCTCGGGGGTAAACCGGTAGAGTGGGAGAACTGCATTTAATGTCAGCTTGCCTCCAGCCACATGCTGCAGGCATCTCTTTGAAAATAGGGCTTTCATCAGTTTCTCTCTTATCCTTTTTGTTTCATGATGTCTTCAGAAATACTTCCTATTTTTACTGAGACTTTTTTTCTTGGAAGTACCAGTACTGTTTAGATATAATATAATGGGTGCTAAATGTTTAACGAGATATGCAGCATTTGCATTTAATGACAAATATACATTTGTTAAAATGTGTTGAGGAAAGAAGGTAGAGGTATAGTGCTTCAGAATTAAAATAGTTATATTTACCTAGAACAAATGTTCATGTAGTTGAATTGCTAACATTTGCTATTTTGACCATGAATGCATATTTCTTTGATTATTTCCATAGAGCCACAACTTCTGTCATTTCTACTTACCACATCAGCTGAGACTGGAATTTTACTATAATTAATATAAATGTTCTTAAAATTTTAAAAGATCTATAGAAATTTTAGAACAATAGTAAATATAATTTATCAGCATAAAACTGATGGTGCTTGTATGCTACATTCTGTCAAACATGTTATTGAGATAAATCATTGCTATGGAAACTGTTGAAAATGTAGATATTTTAACAATACACGATGAAACATAATAAGCTACCTATCTCCTACTCAACTTATTTAATTTTGAGAGTATATTATCATGTATGAACCTTTTATTCACCTCATACCTTTTCTTTCTTAACACTTGTGGCACCTAACACTGCACCTCAAAAGAAAGCATGTTTTGGGGAAAGATAAAGATAATAAAAAATTGCTTTACTTAGTGAATAAACAGGTAATAAACGTAAGGGTTTTGTAACAGTTTTTAAGGAAAATATTTCAAATTAGTCCCGGCAAGTCTCAAATGAATTAATATTTATAAACAAATTAACAACTAGTCATTAATATGTGAAAGGTTTATAAAACATTCTAGCTAAATATAACTGATGATCACTTGTTTTTAGTCATCATTGCCTAAGAATCTCATCAGTTAGTATGAGTTGAACAGACTTTCCATGTTTACTAGAGGTCTCCCTTCAGCAACTATTTTTAAAAATATGTTTTTGTTAATTTTTAGAGAGAGGGGGAGAGGGATCGAGAGATAGAAACATTGATAAGAGCGAAACATCATTGACTAGCTGCCTCCTACACACCCCCTACTTGGATATCAAGCCTGCAACCTGGGAATGTGCCCTGATCAGGAATCAAACTGGCAACCTCTTGGTTCACAGATCCATGCTGACTCACAGAGCCACACTGGATGGGCCAGCAAGTATTTTTTTATAGGAGGTTGTTCTTTCAGAAGGTAGTGCAAACTTAGTTAAGCTAATAATGGAAAATGCCTCCCAATAATATTTGCTGTTCCTCCTATCAAGATCTCAGACCTGGCCTGGCCTGCTAACAAACACAGACAGTAACTACTGACTTCCTCAAGAGAAAGACAACAGATTGTATTTCAAGAAATTTTAATGAATTTGTTTCACCCATACTTTCTCTTGGGCCCAGTCTGTCTTTATACCAATGGCCAAGTCAATACTGTGGGTAGAAGAAAAATAGGCTAACTAGCTCTCACAGGACTGGAAGTCGGAATCGGATTAGCATTAGGCTCTTACCAGCAAAATGACCAATACTATACTTAATCCCAGGTAATTCTTTTTCCTTTCTTCTCTTTCCTTCCCTTGTAGCTAAAAGATAAACCACTCATCAACTAACACTTCTAGATTTGAATTGACTGAGCAAAGAGAGCCTTTGAAAGAAACACTGGGTATGTTTAAATAATGAAATACAGTAACGAGCCATGCACTGTACTTCTAGAATAGCAAATGTATAGTACTGTCACCATAGGCTGCTACATAATAGAAAACCCGATACTTTGAAATTGGGATGGACTTCAGAGATCATATAGTGCAAGTCTCTCAATTTACAAATGAGAAAACTAAGGCCCAGAAAAGTTCAGAAACACAAAGTTAGTTAACATACAGATCTAGGAATTCCAAGTCTGGATTTAGTGTTCCTCTTGGGGTCGGGGAATGAGTTTGGGGGTAGGGGAGCGGCTGAAATGAGAGAAGGAGGTCAAAAGGTATAAACTCCCAGCTACAAAGTAGAGAAGTGATGGGAATGTAATGTACAGCATGGTGACTTAAGGTAGTAATACTGCATTGCATAATTGAAAATTGTTAAGAGAGTACATTTCAAAAGTCCTCATCACAAGAAAAAGTATTTTTGTAATTGGTAATAGACAGTGACTAGATATATTGTGGTGATAATTTTTAAATGTATGCTTTACTGAAACTATAAAATGTTAGATGTCAAGTGTTCCTCAATAAAAAATATATTCAGTGTACCTGATAACCAAACCATGTAGCTTATTACACATCAATAGCACTCCAGCAACTTATTCATGATCAATATCATGTTTTAACTATTATACACAAAACTTTTAAAACATTTTTTTGGGTAAAACCCTGAACAATTGGAAATTTTAAGAATTTCTGTTAAATATGATAGTTTGTACAACATGACTGCTGTTCAGGTCTAAATCATAAGTTTTGTACTTATAGGCACAGTAAATTGCCTTATAAAACATATTCTATACTTGAAAAAAAAAGCAAATACAAAAGTGGCACATGCTTTGAAAACAATCCTTTTAAGATTATGTAGTAAATAATCATTTAAATTTAATATGAGTTATTGGTATTTAGTCTAAAGTTGTATCAAGGGCATATATTACCACAGGCAATATCTTCAAATGCATAATTTATGACATCACCTCCATGACTACCTGAGAGACCCAGGAGAGCTAGACCCTGGGAGGGTGAGTTCACACTTAGCTAAGGTCACAAGGGAAACTGCTTGCCAGATGACACAAAACTCCATGTATTTCCACAACTGATATAAATCTCTCCAAAATGTTTAATTTTAATATGCAGGCATAGAAGGCCTAGTGTTGGAATTTATACAGAATCATACTAAAAAAACCCTATACCCAACAGTACAGAACATTGGTACAATATACTTAAACATCGAGGTGGAGAGAGAAGAAGTACATACAGGAGAAAAATATGAGAGGTAAGACAGAAGTAAAGTAGAAAAGAAAAGAAAAGAAAAGAAAAATATATGGGAGGAAGAAATAAAGAGATAAATAGCCCAAAAAGAAGAAAAGAAGTGTAAAGAAAAGAGGTACAGATAAGTGAAATGAAAAGAAAAAAAGAATTAAAAATAAGAAGAGAAATAAAATGATGTGAAAAAAGAGAGAAAGGAATATCGATGTATGACTTGTGAAAAGGAAGAGTTCAAGTGATGGGGATCCATTAGTGATAAAAATAGCTGGAAGAGAGCAATATTTTGTCTTGAGGCCTGACTATCAACTAAGAAAGAAGTAATAAATAAAAAAAGTGCACACACACACATTTGGATACTAACTTACCCCTTAAAAATTGTTGTTACCCAAGGTTTTATCTTCTTCCTTGACTTCCTTCTCCTCATTCTACACTTACCTTTGAGTGACCTCATCCAAACCTATGGCTTTCACTCCAGGACATGCTATAACTTTAACTATGGCAACTGGCATGTCCAATGGCCTAGTGGGTATGTCCACGACTTTACAGGGAGAGTGAACTTAACAAAGTGCAAAGATGAACTCTCCATTTTCACTCCCCAAATATGTTCTATTTTCTATATTTCACATTTTGGTCACAGTAAACTAGATTCTGCATTATTCCATCACCCTCGGCTTCTGCTTACAGATGGCTACAGAAACTTACCTTCTCTCCTCATTTTTCTAAAGTTGCCTCCTCTTCATTCAACTGGTCTTTCTGACTCTAGTTCTTTTCCCCCCACACTGTGCTCAACCCTAACATCAGAGTTCTCTTTCTAAGATAAAAATTGTATCAAATTACTACCTGCTTAAAGGCCAACAGCTGATTTTAGGGCCATATCCAGTCTCCTTAGATGACCAGATAAAACTTCCAAGACCTCATTTTCACACCTTCTCCATCCTCTCCCTCAACCATCCATGACTTTACTCCACTCTATAATTATTTTAAAGCTATAAAGAAACAAGATCTGAGTGTTCCCTGTTTGGGAAAATTTATCTAGTAGTTCCTTTACCATCTATATTTTTATGTTGATAATTTTTATATAAATTAAACATTGTATTATTACTAAACAAGTTTTTGCTTATTTTCACAAAACAGAAGGCACTGTATATTTTTCAAGCATCAGAGGTAAGGATCACTTACTATAGCTGTATCTGTTTTCCTCCTCCCTGAGACCATCCCTTGGCTAGACAGTGCAGTTTCATAACATGCCATGTGCTCTAGTTCTTGTCTTTAAGCACGTTATGCCCGGTGTTTCTGCCAGGCTGTTCTTTGAGAGTCTCTTTCTCATGGGGTCTCTTTCTCATGGGGTGTTGTGCTGATTCATCCCAAACATGGTGACTGCACATAACATAGGCTCCATCCTGTCACCCTGATCTTCATTATAATGATTAGGAAGCCTTCTTTCTCGTATCCTCAAGAACATCAAATATGTTAGCACATCAAAAATCAGTACTAAATATTTCCTGGTGAATAAATGTCTTTAAAGATTATGCAGAGCTTTACATACTGACTTGTGGGAAAGCACATGATTTTTATGTTAACTTGGCATGATTTGCTTTGCATATTCATACAAAGTAACCATTTATTCTAAATGTTGTCCCATAACCTTGAATGCTACATGATGAAAAATATCAACAATCAGAGTCACAGATGTGTCTTGGTCATCAAAGCCAATTCAATAACGGACTATTTTTACACACATGAAGCAACTTGGCAACAATGGAATAGCACCACATCTTTAGCAATAGTGAGGAGCTCACCTTTTCTTCATTACCAACACAACTCCAAGAAATATAATAACAAACAGCAAGATGCCAGCAATGACTCCAGCAATTTTAACTGTGTGGTCTGTTGGTTCCTCAGGTTCTGGGACAGGTTTTGGAGTAGCAGCTCCTAAAGATGAAAGGAAATGAGAAAGAAAAAAGGGTGAGTAAGAGAGAATAGAGATGTTACATTAATTTTTTTTTCTCCTGCTGCATGTAGCACAGTAATAAGACTTATCAGAGCCTGCAGACAGACAAGCTTTGACTTTTTCAACAGCTTTCAAAATCACTGGAAAGAGTGTAATTGTTCACATTGTTCTTCAGTATTTTACTAAATTATAACATGGGCTGGATAGCACACCCAGAACTGACCCTTTTATAAGAAACTCTTCTCAAACACAGTTTTTTATATTTTTATTATCTCTATTGGCTCCCTGCTCTTTCTGCCATTTTAAATCTTGCTAACAACACAATTGCTATCCTAAGCCTTTATCCAAATTTGATTTGCTGGAATAGTTTCCTCAATTATTTTTCATAAATGAACCAGTAATTCTATAACATATTAACCCACACACCTGGAAAAGTGAGATAAGCTCATTTACCATGCATTTTACCAGCAATTGTTTTTTTTTGTTTTTTGTTTTTTTTTTAACACAATAGAGATTTTCCCCCTCTGTCTTTGGAAATCTAAATCTAGGTCACATCTGGTAGGCAAAAGACTCCTTCTAAGCAATTTATACAACGTAGGAAGCAGCTGATGATCACACTACTGGCACCCACATTTAATATCTGTTGAAATGAGATAACCAAAGCCTTACAGTGGTGGCTGTCTTAGCTCTCCTTTCTCATTTCCAAAACACCGTTTGTCCTGTTTATAGTATAATGTGATGGAATGTCACATCAACGTCAGATGAAATATCCATTTCCTCTGCTAAATGAGCTCAGGATGAAAAATATTAGGAAGGTAATGTTCAATTCACTAAACAGAATCCATTTTTTAAGGGCTTCTAACGTTTTAATCAAAACGAGATAGTGCTCAGCATCTGAGCCATCACGCCACCCTCACTAGGTTGACAAATCATCCTGAAAGGAGGAAAGTCATCTGTTCAAATTTCTCACCTTAGATTTTCCTTCTTGTTTCATTGGTAAAAATGTAATTAAAATTGAATGTTGGTACCACCCCTTCCTACCATTGCATTGTGTTTTCCATTCATCCTTCAACTGGTACTTGACAACCTTAACCCTCATTGTGTGTGGTGCATTTTAGAATGGGTTTATTCTAAGATGAGTCATGCCAGAGAAGTAGGGAGTGTCAAGATGTAATTTTTCATGTTTCCATTGGGAGCATACTAACAACATTTCTTTCAAAAGGCATCCACATTAAGATTTTATAGGTGATTCTGCAGCCTGAACATAGCTGTGAACATCAGACTGCAGAAGATAGTCAAGGTCAGGGAGAAACACGAAGTGCACAGAGGCCATAGTCATCTGAGTTGCACTCCGTGGGTACATTTCAATCAAAGTGACAATCGTATGGAAAGCAGTGCCGTACAACAGATACCTTATTAAATGCAAAACCTTATGGGTAATTCTTGATAGGTCATTTTTATTTCTGACCACTTCCGAAAGATGCCCTGTTATTTTGTTTGAATGGATATCTCTCAAACTAGTTGTCTAGGTAAACCTTGAAACCATTAATGTTTTCCTCTTTTATTATAATTACAATCTTAAGTATACTACTCCAATATGCCACTGGAACAAACAACCAAGTGGGAGATTTGGAGGACATTATTACACTAAATACGTTGCTGGGGAAAATTTAAAGACAAAACGTATATGTCATAACCCTGGCTGGGTAGCTAAGTTGGTTGGAGCATCATCCTGTACACCAAGAGGTTTCAGGTTCAATCCCCAGTCAGGGCACATGCGGGGGGCAACAGATGATGTTTCTTTCTCACATCAATGTTTCTCCTCTCTCTTTCCCTCCTTCTCTCTCTAAAACAAACTAAAAACATACCTTCATGTGAGAATTAAAAATGTGTATGTTATAAAAGGATAAATAAAAAATTAAAAAAGTAATCTATGTAAAAAACAATGTTTCAAATTCACAAAATTGAAAAAAGGTTCAGTGTTTTTAGTTTTGATTTTTTCTATCCAATTACAAAATCTTAACTTAAAAATAGTAAAATAAATTTAGTTTTATTCTTCCAAATGTTGGCATATTGGGGCTCATTCTTTGCATCTTACAAACCTAGTTATAGATTGTAAGTTCTCCAAATATATTTTCTATTATATATAGATGATTCACTAAGGTATTTATTTATTTATTTATTTATTTATTTATTTATTTTATAACCAAATTATGCCAGTATATACAACACTTGGGAAAGGAACTTTTTTTTTTTTTTTTTTTTTTTTTTAGAAACCCTTAATTTAGCTCAGAAAATTATAATATAAAAATACATGGCTACAACCCATATGTTGTAAACATTCAGTAAGAGTTTGTCCTGATAATGGCCATGCATTTGCTTCAGTTAACCAGGCAACTAGTGTGTGTTCCTTTAGCTTTGGGCCTGTGTCCTGTGAGAATTGGCGAATGACTCTATACATCTTCGGGTCAGGAAGAGAGATCGCCCCTGCAGCCTTTCATTCCCTACAGGAAGCAGGCAAGCACATTGCTATGCAGCCAGCGTAACCTCAGTATTATCATTCTTTAGCACTTACTTTTAACTCATTTCACATTGCAGGTCAAGAAAATGAAATGTTCTATCTCTGCAGGACACAGCTGCAATGCGGTTAGGGTGGCAATCATACAAAATGGAGGGCAAACTCGAGAAGGACAAGGAGGCTGCCTGGTGCTGCCTGGGAGCCACCCACCCTCTGCCAGTAACAGGGCACAGCCACAGGATCCCTGCGATGTGCCTGAGGGACGAGGGTGAGTCCCACATCCGTGCTTAGCGCTACTCTGGGGAAGCATGAACGCAGACACAAGTTGGGATGAAATAAATTACGGCCCTGAGGTGCGTGTCGTTAATTCCAGGTTCACTCGAGATACATGTCATTCCTGTCTTTCTCTGCCTGCCCTCCAGCCCTCCCTAAAATGAGTACCTTCATCTTCTCCTTCAATAGAGATGATGTTCCTCTCTCTACTTTGTTTCTTTGGAAACATGTGTTAGCGAGCTGTCAGTCAGCCTCGGACAGAATGTCATTGCAAATGACAGCTTGTTCCCTGCCCTCCACCCAAATCTCCGAATTTAACAGTATACTTTACAAACTGCTTGGCAAAGGGCTGTTTTCATAATATTTCCCCCTCTGTCTTGTTATTTTCTTTTCAGGTTTTTAATGGCATAAACTTTCATTCGTTTTTTAGGGAATATATAAATTCTAATTGTTCATGGAAAGGCATTTCCCCCCCGATACTGTGCATTCTGCTTGGAGTTTACTGCACATTTAGATCTTTATAAAAAAGAATAAATTCAAATATATACATTTAACAATGGGCAGTATCTAGGCCTAAACATGCTCATTAAAATGATGAATAAGCTAAAATGTCTCTGAGAGATGGAGGAGAAGGAGCTACTAAAGTCATGGTGCACCATCTTCACAGATGCCCGTTCCACTTGACGCCTAGTGACAGCTATGGGTTTTTTTGTTTTGTTTTGTTTTGTTTTGTTTTGTTCTGATGACTGAGAAAATTTCTAAAAAAATGGTATTCCAGGAACTTGCATTATTTAAGGTTTCAGCTATAATGTCTAATGTAAAAAAAAAAAAATCTAAAACTAAAACAAAAACCCAAACCCAATTACCCAATGCAGTATTTGGTTGGTTTTTAACTTGGCAGAAAACAGCAGCCAGTTTTGGCCCAGTGACTGATGTTAGATGGCATAACAGCAGCGTGGCAGCCTGAGGACATGATGCCTCAGCCTCAGGCTTGAGGTCTGGGCCCAGTTCTGATTACTGATCAGGATGCACAAAACTTCACAGAAGAGGTCAGGCTGCGAGGCCGGAAGACAAGGGAGGCATCACTGTGGCCTGGAGCTAGTGACCTTCCCACAGCATCGAGACAGGCTCACCTGGAGGAAACAGGAAGCCTTCCAAAGGGAGGGAGAGGAAGGTGAGAAGCACCTAGGGCGCCAGAACCTCTGCTGAAGGGTGGGTACATGCTTGCTGGGAAAGATGGGAACCAATCCCCTGTGCAGGATGTGAATGGGTGATGGATGCTACAGAGAAACATGCGCAATAGAGTGGGGACTATGAGGGCAGGCAGGTGCTAGTAAGATCTGAGATGGGGGTTATTTATTGAGAAAATAACACTTGAGCAGAGACAGGAAAGAGGAAGGGGAGTGAGAGAGGATGGCACTCAGGAAAGAGCATTGAGGCAGGGGGGAAGAAAAAGTTTAAAGGTACAAGATGAGACTGTGAAATACGGAGGTGTGCCTGGAGTGGAGTAAGCTGGGGAGAGTGGCGGGGAAATGTCAGCCTGGGGGCACCTCCACAGATCATTATAAAGACTTGGCTTTGTCTTTGCATGATGGGAGCTATGGGAGGATTGTGAGTGGAGGAGTGATGTGGTCTGGTTTATGTTTTAACAGGATCGCACTGGCAGTGGTGTTTAGAATTGGCTGGGGGTGGGTGTCAATTGTAGAAACAGGAATATCAGGGGTGAGGCTATTGCAATAAGCCAACAAGAGATTAGGATGCTTTGGAATAAGACAGTAGCAGTGGAGGTCAAACTTGAGATACATTTGCCCGTGAACAGGGTGCAGGGGTGTAGGTATAACATCCGGGGTTCTGGCACGAGTAGCTGGCAAGATGGAGTTGCTGTTTGCTGAAATGTAGAGAACTGGAAAGGCAGGTAGCTGGGAGAGTCAGGAATTTGGTTTGAGACAAGTTAGTTTTGAGACATTAGACATCCACAGAAGATAAAAGTAAGTAGGCAGTTGGAAATAGTGGGGAGACATCTAAGTTTAGAATCTACGTTTAGATCATACGTTTTTTGGGTTGGCAGCAAAAAAGATGGTATTTAAAATCATGAGACTGCATAAGGACACTTAGGAGGTGAAGAGAGAGTGAGAGGGGGCGAGATGGGGGGAGGGAGCAAGGAGGGAGGGAAAGAAAGAGAGGAGGAAG